CATCTAGCAGGTATTTGTTTCTCTACCACCTTTAATCTAATACTCAATTCCCCTAGATATTGAGTGCTAGATTCATGGGTAATAACTCACTTTGTTTCACAAAATTAGCATTCCATACAATGAACTCAATTCAAAATGCATACATCACATTGTCCAACCATTAACGAATTCCTGTATACTACAATGGAACTATGAAAATCAGTCCTAATACAATGCTTGAAGATGTGCTATTTGTACTCCAATTCAAGTTCAATCTACTGTCTATCAATTCAATAACCAGGGATTCATCTATGATCATCAAATTTATTACTGATTCATGCATTATTCAGGATCTGCAAAAGCCTTAGTTTGATTGTTTTGCTCGAAACCTCCAGATACTCGATTGCTGCGCACATGTCCAAGAATTTTGAAATTTAGGGCATTGGGGTTCTCAGTAAGTCTCCCAACGAACCACCGAGCATTCTGGAACATGTTTGTGACATTCGTCCTCAAGTGGAAATTCGTCTGACCAAATGCTTGGTACACTATGCTAGATTGATTTTCAACAACCAATGTAATCATGTACTCCCTCATTAACCTTGCATTTTCATTAGCTACAGCCACATTCAATTGTGTTGCTTCCAGATTAGCCCCGATGACTATTTGATTCGAATTTTCCTTTACCATGTCTTCTTCATTTTTTTATGTTTCTAACTGTTGTCTTATTCAAAACTTGAATGTGCATCCAATTTTCGAATCAAATTGATCAAGATCACCGAGATCTCAAACTTTGCATACGAAACCTGAAAAAGTAAGCAAGAAACACTGTAAAATTTTTCTAATGAAAAAAAATAACTAATAAAGCAATAAAATTTAGATTAAAGTTAAAATTAACTAAAACATACCAAAAACAATAGTCCCCAACAACGATGCTACAAAATTGATTATTTAATTACCTGCAAGTGCATGAGATCATAATCAAGTAATATAATGATGAATAGAGTGTTGAATTCACGAGAACTATGTGTTTGACCGAGTTAAAATTAATTACAACTTTAATCGAATAACAAACAAGTTGTTGTGATTTTACTGTTCTAATCCCTAAATTATCAATTAAACTAGTAAATGCAAGTAAATGTGATTTTCAAATATGTGAGATGTATTGCTAAGATGTTGAATCCCCATTGTTATTTCATTTTTAGTTTAACGATTAAAGTGATAATTTGAAATCATTCATAATCATTCATGTTAGTTAATGTCCCTAATTTGATTGAAAGCTTCTCTCGATAGCGATCAAATATATTCCCCTCATGTGACATTTCATCGAGACCCCTCATGTGACCTTTCTATCTATCTATGAAAGATACAAATATGGTAAATACATTAACAAGTGCTAGAACACAACAGTATGACTGAATACATGAAAAATCATGTAAATATTAACCCGATTTCAATATAAATTAATGAAAAGAAAAGTCTAAAGACTAGAATTGTTCAACAATGAAAAAAACAATTACATGAATAAATTGATGCAAAATCTCGAAATCCAACGAGTTTCTTTCTTGCTTCACCTTGGTTTTTAATTTCTCGTGAGTTTATTGAGCAAAAAGATATGAAAGAATGATGAATAATGAGGAATAATGCGTTCTGGACGTTTTGGGGTCTTTCTAACTATGCGACGGCATTGTTATAGGTGTTGCGATCACATGAAAGGCTGGAATTGGCTACTGAAAATCTCTGAAAGGTACTATGCGACCGCATAGAAATAACCCTATGCGACTGCATAACTTTAGAAGTTTTCCATCCAATAGTCTTCCGTATTTTCGTCATTACTTTCTCTCCCGATATCCAATTGAGACGATTCAAGATGCGTTGGAACACTAACTTAAAGGGCTACAACTTTTATTCAGATAACATTTTCGAACTCGATCGTTTTCCATGTCAAAAACTGGTCTCAATATGAGGCTGAAAATCGGTGCAAAACTTTTCAGCTTGAAAGTTGATACGTGATAATGTCTTGACTATATTTCATCCACTTGACTCATTTCTTCATCCAATTGACCTCTAACACTCTCAAATCTTCATCACAATGTTAGAAACAAGTTTAGAGTACTTGCACTTTAGTCCTTGAATTTTCACTTTCCTCCATTTTAGTCATTTTTCACCTGCTTCTCCTTATTTCCGCTACATTCATCATTTTATCTTGCAAAACGTAAATTATATAGAATTAAGATATATTCCAACATATTAATCAACAATTTTTCATATTTTGACAGTACGATAAGTGTGTAAAAATGCACTTATCAAATACCTATTGAAACCATATAAAGTATAAATGTATATCTCTATCTTCTATCGAACCTTACAATATTTATTATATTATACTTAAATCATATTGTCTCTCTCGATAACAATAAAATTCACTAACAATTCAATTGGTGATCAACAAATTGAAAAGAACGATAAAATTAAACCAAATTAAAATCAAAATAATTAATTAAAAACTAAAAATATCATTACAAGAGTTCGTCTTATCCTAGCAATGTACAAAATTAAACTGATATATCGGAATTATAAGAAATCATATTTAAGTGAAAAAAAAACATAAACCGAATTTTTGATAAATTGAGAAGATGAAGATGAATCTTGAAATCTTGAATTTCTTCAATGGTTTATTGATAAATCTCCACTTATGTCTTCTCTTATTTGCCCAAAAATCAAGTTTGAATCTTTACTTGATTAAATCCTTTCAAGTCTCTTTCAATTCTCTCACAAAAACTATGAATTTTTCTCATTTGATGATAATAATGGATGAATATTGAAGTATGAGAAGTCTCTAATATGTATTATGCTGTTATTTGTAGGTGTCAAAAATTGGTTGAAAATCTCGTACGATCAAAAGAATTCCAATCGAATAGAAAAAGTTGCATTCGCACGCTCATGTTTTTTGTCTTTGCACAGCAATCAATATTTTGATTATAACTTTCTTTTCATATATCCGATTGACGGGATTCAAAGTGCATTGGAAATCTAACTCAAAATGTTAAACTTTGCTAAAGTATAGTTTTTCCAATTCGGATGTTTACCTAATCAAAAATGGGTCTCAATTTTCGGTTAAAAATCTGGAATATAACTTGTGTAATTGAAAATTGATTTTGATATTTTTTGATCATATTTCATTTCTTTTTGACTTCTAATTACGTCCAATTGTCTCATAACATTCTTTAAAGTATCATCTTGTGGTCTGAATCAACTAATTTTCGCTTCTTTTTTTTTTATTTTTTTCAATTTCTCGTTTAACTATCGAGTTTTACCTATATAGTATAAAAGAAAATAATTTAGAATATATTTTTTCTAAATAAATATCAAATATCTCTATTTTAGACCCTCCAATAAGTGTATAAAATGCACTTATCAGACTATAGGCACGTTGCAAATTTATGAGACCTTTTCGGTCGATAAATATTATCTACAACATTATCGTTATTGGTTTTCAAAGAGAAATTTAGTCTTCGGCCACGACCAAAATTTATACTACAATATACTTCTTTTACGTGATCAAATAGGATTCTTAATAGTCAATTCAATGTATCAAATATCTCATGACAAAAATGACAAGGAAGATGACTCATGGTTGGACTTGATTGAGAAAACGACAACTATTTGATTTGATCGTTACTTAGGCTGAGGTCTGTCAATGGGAGCTGATATTGGAAAGAATTTATATATTAAAGTTATTGAAGGATATATATGAAAATGAATATTGATACAAGTCATAAAACAATAAAATAAGATAAGATTTTTATATGTTCTTTAAATCTCAACAGTCTCGTGAGAATTATACACTTGGAAATGTTTGGTTCGATGTGGTCTTGTTTTGACATTCTGTGTAAATTATAGTAATTTGACATTTCCTTCGTAGGAATGGATAGAATTGTATGACCTTTCAGTTGAGGAATGTCTAAAATTAATCCAAAGAAAAGCTGAATTGTCAAAGAACCCTAATTCTGAAATTTCTTAGTCTATTATATCCTTAAAACACATATAGCAATGGTTGAAAATTCTGTTTTGACCTAATTTTCCAAAAAGACTACAGAATTTTGAAAAGTCATTGATGACTATTACGATTTCTAGAAATTAATTAATTCCAACATTAGGTTAATAATGCTTTTAACTTCCTTTGCGAATTGCGGAATTATACTTGATGCCAATTTCGAATTGTCCATTAATATTTCATTATAAGATATACGGAGTTACTATTGTGGCGTGAATTTCTAAATAGATATGGTTCAATTTAGCGCATGTCCGGTGGAAATTTTCAAAATCAATTTTTTGACCATTTTTTGTCAACTGGGGCCCATATGTGAGAGATTTGGTCAAGAAAAGTAGCTGAAAATTGTTGGAAACGGTAGGAAAATGGTAGGAATTTTACTATTAAGCATTTCTAGACAGACGCTTAATTTCTTTATCTGCTCCACATTGGTGATTTGGCTCGTTAAAAATCATATTGATACCTACACCTTATAGACAAATGGTTGTTGTCCATGACGACCTAGTCAATCTAGTTTTCAATTATGTCTCAAGTTTAAATCGTACTTGAACATATTGCAATATGGACACGTATATGAGTCGGTCCAGTTCACATCTTTGAAGACATATGTGACAATATTTAATGGTTATAAATTAATAGATAGGCTTCAATGAAAAGGGAAGAAAAATCTACCTTTATTTGACTGAAAATTAACTTTTTTTCATGCAAAACATCATTGTAGGCGTTTTTCGTAAACCTTTAGCCTTGTACCATTTATTACGGAGAAGGTGCCACAAGAATCTTACCAGTTGCAGAATTCTACTCTCTATTTCCAACGCACAAATCCTTATCTAGAATTCTGTTGTCATTCAATCTAATCTGTTTTGATTTACGTTAATCTGTTTTTGACTTTTCCTAATCCTGTTTTTCCATTATAAATTAAACCCAAAAGCAACCTTTTTTTTTTGTCATCACATAATTTATATTTACCATGGCTAAAAATTCTCTGTGTTTCTTTGTGTTTGTTATAGCCTTAGCCATTGGAAGAAACGTATGTGAAGCTGAAGAAGAAATAGGGTTTTATGAATTGAAGAAAGGCAATTTTACAGTAAAGATCACTAACTATGGTGCAACTGTTCTATCTGTTATAGTTCCTGATAAGCATGGTGAGTAATTTTCGAATAAAAAAACACTTTGATTTGTAAATCTAGATTCTAAATTTTCTTTTTATGCGGATTTTATGTGTTTTTTTTTTCTTTTCAGGTAAATTGGACGATATTGTTCTTGGTTTTCCATCCATTGATGGGTACAAGGTCAGTTTTCCTTATTCAAATTCATGAAACATGAATTGATGTGTAATAAATGTGAAAAAATATAATAAAGGTTTTTACTTTTTAAACAACCTAATTTATGAAGCAACAATGTTATGAATAAAGGTTTAAAAAATTGCATTCTCCGGTCATTTTTAACGGAAATTTAGCTTGATTATTGACCCTTTATTTAATTATTGAATACATGATTTATTATTATTATTATTTATTATTATTATTATTGTATATTTGCAAGTATTTCTAATTAATACTGAGTTTTATTAATTGTGCAGAATGATTCAACCTACTTCGGTGCACTTGTTGGACGTGTTGCTAATAGAATTGGAGGGGCTCAATTCACTCTGAATGGGAAAAAATACCAACTGCCTGCTAATGATCATGGAAATACACTCCATGGTTAGTCAAATATTTGATATTTTTTCACATTATATATATATATATATATATTTTTTTTTTTTCAAGAATGAAGAACATAGTTCGTACAATGAAATCTCAGGTGGAAGCAAAGGATTCAGTGATGTTATATGGACTGTAAATCGTTATGTAAAAAACAGTCACATAATGCTGAGTTATGACAGCTATGATGGTGAACAAGGTACCGACAAAATCATTACAACAATTCCCTTTTTTTTCAAGATTCTTGTTTCTTTTCACCGTATCAAATGAGCAAATATGTCTATAAGTCGACAATTTGGTCCTATCTAGTACTGTGTAACCAACATTTCCAAGCCATTATTTAACTATATGTTCTTGATCAACACGCAGGATTTCCCGGTCAGGTTTCTGTATTTGTGACTTACATGTTCATTGGAACAGACAAATTAGCAATAAACATGCAAGCCAAGCCTATAAACAAGGCCACCCCAATCAATCTAGCATCACACGCTTATTGGAATCTTGGAGGACACAACAGTGGAGACATACTTTCGCATAAAATCCAGCTTTTCGGCTCCCACGTTACTCCAGTCAATGGCAAACTCATTCCAACCGGTGAAATTTCTGCAGTCAATGGAACCGCGTATGATTTCCTCAAGCCAAGGGAAATTGGGAGCAAAATCAATGAGCTTTCTGGTGGATATGATATCAACTATGTTATCGATCAGACGGAGGAGGGGAAGCATTTATCAAAGGTGGCCGTGGTGCAAGATAGAAAATCTGGTAGGAATTTGGAGTTGTGGTCTAATCAACCAGGAGTGCAATTTTATACAAGTAATATGCTGGATAATGTAGTAGGCAAAGGAGGATTTGTTTACAAAAAATATGCTGCATTGTGCTTGGAGACACAAGGCTTTCCAGATTCAGTAAATCATCCGAATTTTCCTTCTCAGATTGTGAATCCAGGAGAGGTTTATAAGCACATTATGGTTTACAGGTTTACTATTTAGATCTTATAGATAATATAGCAATGTGTTAATTTTTTCTTTTTGAGGAGTTTTTGGTTGTGATATACATTTCAGGTTTTGACATTTTTTTTTTTTGTTATTTCTATGTTTTTAATTAGACCTTTTCATTGTTCAATAAATATAGGTGGAAATTATAACACACCCCCCTATCTTTTAATAAATATTTAGAATATATTTTTCAACTTTTTTTAACCATAAATACTGTTTAAAGTAAATTAGAAATATGAAAAATAAACCAAATCTTCCAAACTATTATATTCATTTTTTTTTTCCTAAAACATTTCCACTCGCGGTATATATTCATAGACGAAAATTGCATATGTGGTGAATATAATATTTTTACTTTTTAGTTAACGGAAGCATAATTTACATATTCACAAGAAAAATTGAAACAATTTCATACTCAAGTACACATAATTGATTTAGGGGTGTAAGCGGTCCCTTTTTTGCGGTTTTTGACAAATTTTCAAATCAAACCGTTTTGACCGATTTGAGAAAAGCTCAAACCTAAACCAAACCGTTTTGACCGATTTGAAAAAAACTCAAACCTAAACCTAAAGGTTTGGTCCGGTTTTAAACCGCCGGTTTCGCGTATATTTTTTTCCTGTCTAGTATCTACTTTTATGCCATTAATTCAATATATATTTATATCTTGTTAGAAATAAATCTAAAACAAACTAAATATATTTACTATAAATTTAAATACCAACAAAATAAAAGTAAAATCACAAAAAACTAAAGCATAGTTTTTTATTCGCCCTTTTGACGTTTTAGAATAATACTTTACGATAAAGATACAATACAAGTCCACTAAAATAAATATAAGGTCCAAAAAAATATAATAATGTCCATTTTCAACTAACAAAAGGAATAAACGAATTAATTTTGTCACAGAACTCAAGAAATATCAAATTTTGTCACAGAATTCACAGAACTAGCAAAAAGAAGAAACATTCACATACTCAAGAAACCATAGAACTCATGATCAATTTTGTCCTTCATACACAAAAAAAATTTTAATTAGCAAATTGGAAAAAAAAAAGAATTAAGACACGGATCCATCTAATAATGGCTTCCAAAAGACAAGCTGCAAATATTTTTTCTCCCCCATTCCACTATATATACCCACCTTCATCTTCTGCAATTTAACACGGAATTATACATATTCTCTCATATGTAAACAAATGTCTTTTGCGCACCTGATAGCCCGAATTTCAACTTTAAGCCTTACTCACGATCAATAAATATGTAAACAAATTTCAACTAGAAAGTGACAAAATTTCAATTTTAAGCCTTACTCACGATCAAATAAATATGCAAGAACCTGAAATAGTCTAATAATACCGGCGAACGTACACTACCGGCGACTGGGAGGTTCGAGATTTCGAGGGCGTTGACGATTTGGGGGAAACTAGGAGGCGCCGCGGGGAGCGAGGCTGCGACCAGCGAGTTGCGAGTGAGAGAAATGGAAATTGGAAGATTAGGGTTGTGACTTGTGAGTATATGGACTTGGGTTGAGCTGTTTAGTGCTACTTCTTTCAAATTTGGGCCTTTTTTTATATATAATTAGGCTTGGGCGGGTCGTAAATCTTAATAATTAATAGGAAATTAGAAATTGACAAAAATACCTACAAAATGACAAAATTATTCAATTTTACAAAATTGAAATTTTGGATAAATTTTCAAAAAAAATCAATTTTTTATTTTTTTATTTTATATATTTTTCGCCGGTCCGGTTTGGTTTCAAACCATAATTAAAATTCTCAAACCTAAACCAAACCGTTTTTGACCGGTTTGGTTTGGTTCAAAACCATTTCGTTGACGGGTCCACGTGGCACCAAACCGCCGGTTTCGAAATTGCGGTTTCTGTTCGATTTTCCGGTTTGGCGGTTTTTGCTTACAGCCCTAAATTGATTCACGTAATCAACTGTCGAACATTATATTCAAATTTAAGAAATAAAATCTATACGAATTGCTCCACAAGCGACAAGACATCAAATGTAGAAGTAAAGATGGGCAGGGTGAACATCACGAGACAAATTTAAAATAATCCCAACTCGAGTTACATCTAATTGAAACTCATTATTAGATGGCACCTAACCTTGAAATTTCAGATTTTAAATCTTGAAAAATAGGCTGGATACAAATTGGGCCAGTTACATAATGGGTGGATGCTATTATTTTAGAAAGACGTATATGCAAATATAATTTATACGTCATTCAGTATTTTTTTTATTTTATTAATGTTACATAGTAAATTATGAAATTTTTTATTCTAACGATGCAGCTACGAAAATTTCTGTGTAGGTACTGTTCTCAATTTAAATTGCTCTGATATTTGTAAATGGGTTGTGATCCCTCCCGCAAGGTTGAGCCAACCCAAAAAGCCATCTTCAGTTCAGGTTGCAGGCTGCATTTTATTGTTAGTATTCTGTGCTCATTGCTAGACAATCAAGAAAATATGTGAATAAACTTGAGATGATCGAAAATTTGAAATTCTTGTGAACGATGGGAGATGGAGATTAAGCTATGTGAATAAACTTGAAATTAAAGTATATTCAATGTTCAATTGTAATCAAACTTTACTTGATTAAATTGGTGAATAGTTAATTAATTGTATTATTATAGATATTAAAATATTTCTTTGTAAAGCGCTTTACCATTTTGTTTCGCACTTTATCAATTTTCTTTTTAGGGTAATTGACACAAAACGTCCCTACATTTTACATGTATTGTGAAAATCGTCCCTACATTTGATTTCTTGGCATTTATACTCTTACCTTCAACATTTCATGTGTCGAAGGTCCTTTCACCATGTTTTGAAGATTTTACCTTCCATTCAATTGAAAAAAAAAAAAAAAACAATTGACCAAATTGTAACTATTAGCCCAAACTTTTTAAAAAGTGCAAATAACCCACCAAACTTCACCTTCTTTCCAAATGGGTAATTTCACAAACGGTCAAAAATTTCACCTTCTTCCCATCAAATTAATTTGCTAAATAACTGCCGCTGATTCCATAAATGAAACACTTCCGACACTAAACTCGACCGCCACTTTGGAGCCACGATTCACCACTTTCTGGCAGCCAAAACCACCATCAGCCTCGCCTCATTTCCCTCTACAATCTTCAACCAACCACCAGCCACAAATCAACAGGAAGAAGCAAAAAATTCAGCCCAAAAAAGAAATGTCTCACACCCATTTTCTGCCGGAAAATCCATCTCCGGCAACGCCCATGGTCACGCATCACCAACAGACGATAGCCCTCATCCAGGCGATCAATATCATGTCCTAACATCAACCAATAATGCACCAATTCGTTCTGATATGAATCAATTAAATCTGGTGGTTGCGATTTTGTAATGGCGATTGGGGTGGGTTTGGATGGTTTTTTGTGTGGTGGAAGTGGTGTTGCGGTGGAGGTGGCGACAGCAGTGGGTTTTGGTCGATTTTTTGTGCGGTGGAGCTTATGGTGTTTGGGGCAGGTGACGGTGTTTGGTGCGGTGGAGGTGGAGGTGGCGGTATTGGTTGATTTTTTGTGCGGTGGAGGTGATGGTGTTTGGTGGTGGTGGTGGTGCGGTGGAGGCGACGACGACGACGGCGGCGGCGACGATAGTTGGTTTGGAGGTAAAATTGTGCGTGGGAATGGTTTTTTGAACATGAATTTCAGTCGATTTTTAACGTGTTTTGGTTGCTTGTTGGTATAGAATTGTGTAGGGGATGAGGAGGTGTTGATGGTGTAAGAATCTGGTGGTTTTGTCGGCGGTATGGTGGTCGAACTTGGCAATTTCCGGTGGGGATGAGTTTTGGGAAGAAGGTGAAATATGATTGGGGGCAAGAAATTAGTATTTGTGATTTAAAAGTAGGTTTTAAGGATTTGGGATTATCATTGCAATTAATTCTTTAGTTTCTCTTTCGTTTCTTTTTATCTCAATTGAATGGAGGGTAAAATCGTCAAAACATGGTGAAAATGACATTTGGCGCACAAAATGTTGAAGATAAGGCATAAATGCCAAGAAATGAAAGTTAAGGACGATTTCTACAATAAATGTCAAAGGTATGGACGTTTTGTGCCAATTACCCTTCTTTTTAATATACAGACCACTTTCTGAATGTTCAATCATCAAGTGAACAAAGTACAAGAACAAAAATTAGACAATAGCACACAGATAAACATTTGACCTTTTTTTTTTTGTTCTCGTATAAATCAATATTAAGTGCAATTCAATTCAATGTACCAAATATTCCAGGACTATCTTGCAGTAAATAGAGACGGCAAAATTTCAAGTGCTTGAAAGGTAATGTGAGTTGATTTTTTTTTCATTGAACAATAGTACGATAAATATGCTTACTAAAGCAGATATATAAACGTTAATACTACTCATCAAGGCAAACATGATAAGGTGAATATGTTGGTTAATTTGTATAGTGAAGTGGTTGTTTGTTTGTTTAATTAACAAAGTAATAATTAAATTTAATTCGCAGAAACATAATCAAACTCTATGTAAATAAGAATGAAAAGAAAGAAAGAAAATGAAAAGAAAGTGAGAAAAGAAAATTCGAGACAAGTGATTTAACACTTTCTCCTCAAGACAAAATTATCTTGCAACGGAGTTAATGGATTACGACACTTGTCTCCCAAAATACAACGGATACAACTTGCGGTAGAAGCACTTCAAACCATAAGTAATAGCGAGCTCGAACAATTTTTCTTTTCTCTACAAGAAAATAAATTTTAGAATGATACGAAGAATTTTTGCAAGATATTTTAATGTAATGTTCAATGATGTATGATGCATAATGAACGTCCAAGGGTCTTGTTTATATAAGATGAGAGGTTGTGAGTGAAGTAACACTCCAAAAGTCAACAACTTTCACGAAGGGAAGCATTCCTTACTGTCACTAGCCTTTCACTCGAGCGCCAATGACACATGTTCAACATAACATTTTTCTCTCGCATGTCACTCGAGCGTCAGCTTTGCCACTAGCATGTCGTTAGCTTGCTGCTCGAGCAACAGTGCTATATGATTTTTCTATTCTTCTCTTCGTTTTTCTTCTAACTTTGGATTGCAATTTCTTATTCATCCGAAATTTGTTTGGAGATTTCAAATATATTGCAACAATTTACTCGACGAGTTGAATAAATTAGTCTATTTACTTTTATAATTTAACTATCAGATCAAGTTCGAATATTTGATCGAATTTGACACAAAGTCACTTTCAAGTTTTATACTTGATCAAAATTCTCAATCTTTAAATCAAATTCCAACAGAATATACGTATGTTTCTACCACGATTTGTCTATGTCTTTTATAACTGCTCTATTTGTATCAAAAAGAAGAAAAGAAACAACAACAAAAGGCAGAAATCCCCAAGTCCAAGTGTATATACTGTACATAATGATAGGAAAAAGTTCGCATTGAAATTTAGTGAGATACTTGCTTTGGCGAGAATTTCGAACCTTCTGAGAAGGGGGATTCTCCGTATCCCGGTAATGGCGACCCTCGAGGCGTCCGATTCATAGGTGACTGCAACTTCGGTGAAGCAGCAGCATTGGCTTTTTGAGACAAAATATTTTCAAGAATATCCAAAACGTAAGTCATAGGTGGTCGAAATCTGGCTTCTTGATTTACGCAAAGTATTGCAAGATTTGCAGCAACGTAAGCACCCTTTTTAGGATATTGTCCTCCTAATTTAGTGTCCATGATTCGGAATACTTTGCGCTTGTTCTGCAAGTGAGGCTTAACCCATGTTATCAATCGCTTTTCTGCTTCGCCTTTTGATTCATCAATGGAGCGACGTCCGGTGAGAAGCTCCAGCAGCACGATTCCAAAGCTATAAACGTCGCATTTGACTGTCAATTTACCTGTTCATTTACAAATTGTCATTTGTGATCATAACAATATAGGAAGAAACAACCAATTGAGAACGTTGTGATCAATAAATATAACATTAATGAGCTTTTGTTTCCTTAACTGAAACATCACAAGAGATTTTTTCAGTGGAAAACATATCGATTTTTCTTACTAAATTCGACAAAAAATTCAGAGACAGAGATTCTAATAACTTCTATGGCCATGAGAATTCTCAACACGAAGTGTCAACTTATTGTACATTATAAGAAGAAACAAAGCATACCTGTGGTACGGTATTCTGGGGCGCAATAGCCTTCTGTACCCATTACTCGTGTAGTTACATGAGTATCGAATCCGGTAGGACCAGATTTCGCCAAGCCAAAGTCCGAAAGCTTTGCATTAAATTCCTAGTTAAATAAAAAAATGCACATAAGCAAAATCTATGCTGCTAAAAATACAATACAAACTCAATTTTCGAGAAACATACTGAATCTAGCAAAATATTTGAAGTTTTGAAATCGCGATATATGACAGGCGACTCAGAGTCGTGTAGAAAGCAAAGCCCCCGAGCAGCACCCGCAGCAACCTTAATCCTTGTTGTCCAAGAAAGAGATGGCATATTCCCTGCACATCACAAATGCTAATTAAGGGGTGGAATTGTTTGTCGTTAAATCAAATTCATGTTCCATCCTTGTTTGTTGTTACATCTCAAAACACAAACTTATCGAAAGAATTTAATTGCAGAAAATGAAAAAGTAAGACAAATTAACCTACTTCTGAATAAGTGATTCTCCAAGCTTCCTTTGGGCATAAATTCATAAACTAATATTCGATTTTCACCTTCTAAGCAGTATCCAATAAGTTTAACTAGATTCGGATGGTGAAGTCGACCAAGATAGTTAACTTCTGACTGCAAGCAACCATCTCTCACTCATTAGAAAATTAAAGCATTGAAATACGAGAAAACAAGAATCTAAACAAAATTAAACCTACCAACCACTCCTTATGACCCTGAAAACCTTGAGGTATGAGCGTCTTTACTGCAACTGCTCTACCCAATCCAGGTCTGGTAGCCGTGAGGCTTTCCTCGTCCAACCATCCCTTAAAAACACAACCAAATCCACCTTCACCAAGTAGACTATCTGGGCGAAAGTTTCCAGTTGCATTTCTAAGTTCATTGAATCGGAAGGATTTTAGGTAGGGAGATGATAATATTTCACTCTCTGAAGTTGGCACTGGAAGTATACGAGATTTTTCATGTGCAGGTGATGTCTTCGGAATTGGCATTGGCAGAACATTAGCCTTACTAATGTACTTAGGCGATGTATCTGGCCTTGGCATTGGTAGAGTACAAACCTTATCGTGTTCAGGGCGTGTTCGTATAGGATGACTGGGGGTCGGCAAAGGATGGCTCTTTCCGTTAAATTGTTCCATGGAACCTGAAATTGCAAAATAGTTAAGAAAAATTTATAAAGGTTATGGTTACTTTCCTCGTACATATGCATAACCCATCCAACTTGCAACTTGCTTAAGAAAAATCAACATTTGGAATCATTTAATTGCAAGAAACTTTTTGTATCCATATTTCACATTCAGTGAATCAACTTTTACGTGGCAAAAGTAATATTGCCACATATGTTAGACCATAAGGAAGCTATCACATCTTATTTAAGTTGGGCCAGCCTCTTTCTGGGATTCCATACCTTGGGATTCTATTTTAATGATGTCGTACTTGCCTTTGGTACTCCATAAAAGCAAACTTTGATTGAACCTATATTTGCTCAATGGATACAATCGGCTCATGGGAAAACTTCTTATGTATTTGATGTACTTTTATCTTCAACGAGCGGTCCGGCATTCAATGTTGGTCGAAGCATCTAGTTGCCTGGTTGGTTAAATGCTATTAATGAAAATTACATTAAACTATTAAAGAGGGATCACATATATTCTCTTAAATCTTGTCGTTACCAAGCTTCCCGACGTGTATATCAGATTCATTTTTTGATTGACTGAAGCACAATTTTCATAAACGAGTGTTTTACCTTACTCTGATAACATGTTAATAGTGTCATCTAAAAGTCGTAAAACGTTGGAGAAAGATCATATATATGGCTTTGGAATTTGTCTATACCGTCATTATACATTAAAGCGGTCCTTGAGCCATGTAAACTAGGCCAAATTGATATCAAACTACTTTATTCAAAGCGCCGACAATTTATATGAAAATCCAGAATAAGTATAGAATACGAACACGACATTATGCAGTAGATAGCGGTTGAATTTTGACTAATAACAGAAATCATCCAAACTATTCTGAATAGAAAAATTGATCTTTAAAGTATCATGAAATTGCAAATAACAAACCCAAGAGCTGCAAAAGGAAAGACATTCAAGAAAATCTGGAAATTTAAGATTTCAAAAACAATTCAAAAATTGCGAAATAATTTCATCCAATCCATAACAAATTACCCAAAAGGAAGACCTAATATCAACAAAACTCTAATGACAAATATTGAGTCATTGGTAATAGTCCATGCATTCATATATTAAGACGTGGGATCTTACCTAAACCTAACCGCGAGATAGCAGCTCGTTGAGAATATGAATGATAGAACACAATCACAAATGCAAAACCCAACAAAAAGAATATACAGACATTTAATCCCACAATTTCTTCCATAATAATTTATAAAAGAAACAATTGGAATTGCATGGTTTCAATTTAAAGAGTGAGAAAGATAGAAATTACCAGAAGAGGAGGGAGGGGGAGGGGGAGGGGAAGGGTGAGGCAAGGGTCTCCCTTTACAAGGGCACATGACAACGTTGTCAACTTTGACAACATTTTGCTTTGTCTTTTCAATGCAATTGCCCATTTAATATGTGGAATGTTGGAAACCTATGCAAAAAGAATGAAAGAATGGTCTTGCTTTTTTCTCCTCCTCCATCCCCATTGCCTTCCAGAAGAGGAGAAGAAATGCATCAACAGAAAGAGAGAGAGAGAGAGAGAGAGAAAGAGAGAGAGAGAAGAAATCGAAATCGAAATCGAAATCGAAATCGAAGTTAAAACTAACGGAGAGGAACAAGGAGAACATTATGAGGATGGCCAGTATTTGGGTCAGTTAAGTCATTTTCTTGAAAAACTTATGGCAAGCCAATGAGTTTCATATTATCACCCATCCAAGCACGGACGGTTAGGATAATGAATCGTTGTTATGAGAGAAACATATATTTAATATTGTTCAACTCGACATGATACATCTAAAATTATGTCTAAGAATATGTGTAGTTATTAAAAAACCTATATTTAATAATGTTCAACTCGGCATAATACATCTAAAACTATGTCTAAAAATATATGTGAAGCGTATGATTTATATTAGAACTATGTCACTTTGACATTCATTTTTGACATTTTGACTCAATTTTTTAATCCGTCCCTTCCCACCCTCCTTACGCAACCCAAAAATAGGCTAGACGAGGAATTTGAGTGATGTGACCAAACTAAGGAGAGAAAAATCTCACTGTGGAGCCAGTAATTTGTGGTTGAAAAAGAAGGAAAAGTTATTTATGTGATGGAAAATATTATTTTATTAAAAAATGTGTGGTTGAAAATAAATAGAAGAATGAGAATGAAAATTTTAATGTGTACCAAACATAGGCTAATTTTATAGTACATTTATTTAGAGAACATTCTATCACTCATGTTAGGTCATTAGTGTTTGGAAAAAACTTCAAAACCCTTTAAAGATCTGGACAATGCATATATGTATAAACATAAATGTGCATTGAATGCTGACATCAATAAGTGGAGCAAGGAATCGTCTTCTTTTTAGTTTTACAATGTAATGCTAATGATAACGATAGAATTGTTTTAGAATAAAAATTTATTTGTTCTATATATTATATTTTATTATTTTGTAAGTTGAGGGACGAAAGTTAAATATGTTTTAAATTCTTATATTTTGGGTCAAATATTTGGATTTTGATAGAGTGGTGATAAGTATATCAATATGGTACTCATTGGAAGCTCGTAATTATTCATGTAAATTAGGCTCGAGAAAAAGTTAATTCGGATAAGTTAATCTCATAATATTGAAGTTCAAAAAAATTGTTTCATTAATTAGCATATACCTAGCTTACCCTCAATTACAACAAAGAAGGAGTAAATAAATGCAAGGGTAATTCTAGAAATTAGATTATGAACACGGCTTCACTAATCGCCTGACTCGAAAATGGCTCGGCTTATGAACAGTAACTCAAACTCCCTCTTTTATATTTAGTTAGATGTGGCCAAATTGATTGACCATCAACAATAGATGGAAAGGGGTTAGGGACACAAGATGGTAGTTGTGGCCGTGCGCATTATGGATGGCGAGGTCGACACAGTGGTAGGGTGAGTCACATGCCTAGCTGCGTGGATAGTGTTATCCATGGGGGACTCGAGGATGGAGAAGTTTCTAATAGCAGAACATCCATCGATTAAGAAATACACAAAGCCGATTCAGAATGATGTATGGACGTCGAGATAGAGTCTTGCAAACATCTTTTTGTTCCTTTTACTCCAATTGGAAGGTTGATTCAAGTGACGTTTATAATTGTACGCTTATTTTGACCTCAAGATCAATGAAATATTTGAGGGTAGCAGTCGAAAAATATAGGGTTCATGTTGCAGTATCACCATCAACATCTTTGCAAGGTGAAATTGAAGTGGGCTAGTGTAAAGAAATAGCAATTGTTAGACCTCATTCATTTATAGTCAAAGTTAAGGAATCATTTAGTCAAAGTCAAGTAATTCAACCATCAAAGTCAAAGCCAAATAAGGACTAAGTTTAATAAATGTTTTTTCGTGGGGTGTNGACTAAGTTTAATAAATGTTTTTTCGTGGGGTGTAATTGGTAATTGATAATACTTGAAGGGTTAGAAATAATATATAAATGAATATAGGGATTTAGTTTATATTATTGGAAATGGAGGGACTACGTGTGATATTGTAAGAAGATTGGAAACTTGGCTTGCAATTTTACTATAGTTATCCATTAATTTAGAAGGTAATTATCCACTTTTCTCAATTTTTGGAGAAAAATAGTAAGCTGAGGCAGAGAATGTGAAAGCAGAGAAGAAAAGAGAAGAGAAGGGAAGAAAGAAAAGGAAGAGGAAAAAAAGAATAAGTAGGTTTTCAAGTTTGGGTTCTCGATTTCTTCAATTTCTCATTTGATTTAGAGAGGTAAGTACAGGTATGTAGAATTATTAGTTACTTTTTTTGGGTTTATGGAAAAATTTCTCAAATTTGAGGTTTAGCAAGAATTAATGATTATATATATACTAGTTATGGCCGTGCAATGCACGGCTTTTGTTATTTGAAGGTAATATTAGCGTTCAAT